GCGATTGGTGAAAAGGGCGACAGAGCATCACTCTCCAAACAACGTGTGTGAAAACCACTAAATTGCGCACTTGGACCAAAATGGCCGACTTCCTGTGCGACTTTGCACTTCGCTCCAAGAGACATTTTTGTAGGTCCTGAGACACCACATTAGTGTACCAAATTTCGTAATCCTCAGTCAAAGCATGGCTTGGGGCTGACAGTTTTAATGGTCCTAGGGGGCGCTATTTCAGAATATAGGCCACGCCCACCGGATATGCACATCAGTTCTTTTGGGGGGCCGGACTAGGATCACTCACAAGAAGTTTCGTGACGATATCTTTAGAAATGACGAAATGGGAGGCAAACGTAAGTTCACGGCGGTACGCCTGACTTCGCCGCACCGCCACTGCCCCGCCCTCTGCCGAAAACTCCCACAAAGTGACGCCAAGCAACCCCCACTTGTCTTGAGTTATCAGATACAAATTTGTGGTGAGTGAATGAAATGGGGCCATTTGGGACCTTTCATAGTAAAACTTGACCTTTTTGGTCCTGAGGGGGCGGGGCTTGTGTGATGTCATCATCCGACCATTTAATTTACTTTGTGGGTGGATGACGAATGACCACAGAAAGTTTGGTAACTCTATTCCATTCAATTATGAAGTTATAGCAGTTTAAATGTTTTTGGCGAGTAGTCAAACTTCGAGGCCTGGCCCCGCCCCTTCAACATATACGAAAACTCAGAATCCTTGTCTCATTTTGTTCGCCCATCCCTTTTGAGCAATTTTATACAATTTTTGAGACGATCGTGGGAAAAATGATCGAGCAATGCAATCAGAAACGGACCCTAAAAACGGGAAAAATGGCCAAAAATCGCCATTTCAACCCAAAATGGCCGACTTCCTGTTTGATATCGACCATGCTTGCAAGAGACTTTTCTGTGCATACTGTTGAGTACTACAAGTGTACCAAATTTCATAACTGTACGATAAACTAAGGTTTACGGAGAGGGTTTTTTTTTACTTTCTAGGGGGCGCTGTCCAGTCATTTTCTGTGCGATTTTTTTGGGACCTTTAAAATATCAAATTTTTCACCAGGCCTTACATGTTTGCAAAATATTGTGAGTTTTGGGGTATGATAAGGTCCCCAAAAAGCCATTCAAAGGGGCACCGGAATAATAAATAAAGAAAAAAAAAACAATAATAAACAGAGCAAAAACAAGAGGCCTTCGCAGCGCTTTCGCTGCTCGGGCCTAATAAACGGAGCAAAAACAAGAGGCCTTCGCAGCGCTTTCGCTGCTCGGGCCTAAATATGAACGAATCATCTTTGAAGTAAATAAACACCTTTTTTATTTATCTTACCCTGTGCAGGAGAAGGGGGGGGAGGAGGAGGAGGAGGTGGTGTGGGCGGAGATATTGAAGCGGTGTAGGTTGTCGGATGTTGTTCTGAAAGGATAAAAACAACGGTAAATGTGAACGAGTCATCTTTGACTTATTAATCAGTTTTTTTCTTTTTGATCGTTACCATCCGTCTGCGCAGGAGAAGGGGGAGGTGGTGGGGGCAGAGGCGACTGGGGAAGTTTTGACGAAACTGTCGGCTGTTGCTCTGGAGAATAAAAAACGATAAATATGAACGACACATCTTTGACTTATTAATCACTATTTTGTAATCACTTACCAGCTTCGAGGATCGTCTGTGGTGTGATGGTCCTGTAACGAACAGCTTTCGCGTTCGTGTGTGATCTGACGGTCTGGCTGGGCTGATTTGAATGTAAGACGGTTCGGCTGGTGGATGGAGGCGTGGTTGGATAAAAGTTATCACTTCCGGGGTGGGGTTGAACCCCCTCCTTTTCTGTAAAATGAGATATTTCTCAGCTGAAGAAAAGAACGTTACGTATATATTTATAAAATCCACTCACTCAGATTGTCGACCGCACGGTTAATTTTAGACAAATCATCCAGCGGGTTAGGGTAAGGTATTGGTGTTTTACAAGTTAATTCCTCAATAGGAATTTCTTCCCACCCGCCGTCCGATATGACAATAGCGTCTGAAAAATAAAGATGTTAAACCAGAAAGAGAAAAAAAAAGATTTGCATCTTAAGTTAAAAACTTACCCGTCATCTTAGCTTGTTACACCTCAAATCACGACTCCGAAAATGCGTTTTACATTTTATACCGCTGTTTAAAAAAATCTTGAATAGAAAACGGTTGCGATTGGTCGAAAAAAAAATGTTTATAAACAATACAGAGTCATTTGCTTTGTTGTATAAGGAGACAAATGATTGAATGGCTGATTAGAGTTGGTAACCCAGAGAGAGTCAGACATTTTCTGAAAGGTGTGTGTGTGTGTGTGTGTGTGTGTGTGTGTGTGTGTGTGTGTGTTTAACTCGTATCCCTTGATTCTTCTTCAAAACTCCCCAGAGCATAAATAAAAAAACCTTTACGATCCAAAAAATAATACCGGACTGGTTTTGTACCGGACATTTCTTCCTGAAATCGTTTATGTTTCCTTAATATTGGATAAAATGAAGCAGCTCTTTCACTCGTGTGTGTAAATCCGTTTACGACATGCATGTGTCCTAGTTTAACTATTCTGAGAGGTAAGACATTAAAGTTTTGATAAAGAAGGTACGTCTGCTCCGAGACTTTACTAATCCCCCTCTCCCAAAAATTTAATTCAGCTGTTATAGGTCCTACAAAAAGGATCAAACCTTTCTCTGAGGCAGGAAGCAAGTGTGTGTGTGTGTGTGTGTGTGTGTGTGTGTGTGTGTGTGTGTGTGTGTGTGTGTGTGTGTGTGTGTGTGTGTGTGTGTGTGTGTGTGTGTGTGAGAGAGACAGTGAAAACAAAAAGTCACAAAATGTGACACTAAAGGCTGGAGGTGAGGGGTTAAAGAGCAAGTAACGTCTAAATTAACTTTTTTTTGCTGATGAACTGTATAAGTGAGTGTCTAATAGTGTTTTAAATGTGTGCATTCTTTATTTTAGCATTTTGGTGCATTTTCTTTAAAAATTAAAAATTCTGTCTAAAAACCACAGTAATGCGCCACCTTCAGCTGAAAACATAGAATTTGAGTCATTTTGAATAAATTTTAGCCAATGGCTAAAGAGTAAATTACTACGTAAACCAGTAGAGTACTACGTTGCAGCTCCGTGCCAAAGTTATAAAAGCAACGAGCGTCTCGGCCACACCCTGTGGCGAGTGGGAGTTGGATTTGCAAGTGAGTGTAGGAGGTCAGCGGTAGTTCAGCATTAGCATATAGCATTAGCATATCCTAGTCTTAGCATATCTTCTAGTGTTATAAATACTTATTTAGTGTTAGATTTGGCTGTTTGATATTGTAGTTTAGTTAGTGTTTGGCTGTTAGTGTAATTGGGAAAGTATTTCGGGTTTAGTGCTCCATATCTTCTTAGTATTGGTGAGTAGGTGTAGTGTAGTATGCTTGCGGTGACTCTGTGGGCATTTTACCCGCGAATCTGCACGTCTCCGTTTGAAGAGGGAGGCTGCCCACCGTGGCTGTTCCGCGATTTAGATGCAGCTCATCGACTCTGCTCCCCCACCACCAGTGGCGGAGCTTGATATGTGCAATATGTGCGGCCGAACAGGGCGGCAGTCTGCAGGGGGCGGCATTTAATTTCCTTTTTTTTTTTTCTTCTTCTAAAAAAATTTTTTTTAAGCATCAACCAATACATAAACAAAACATAGAAATCGCATGTTCTTAATAATAGTGATGATAATAATACTATTTCTGTAATAAAAGCACAACAAAGTGTAACCCATATCAACTACTCCCTGTCACATGACCCACGTCAGCTGATGTGAGGTCCCTCTCCTGATTGGCTCCTTCCACGTCGCGGCAACAATGAAAGCTGGCTGTGGGGGAATACGTCCGGGCTAAAAACAAAGCGTTTTTCTCCCCTCAATTCATTTATACTTTCATTTTACCTCAGCGGTAAGTGTTCTTAACATCTACCAATAACACCCTTTTACTTGTCAGTGACCAGTCGATCGTTTTCGCTATAAAAAATGACCCTGTTCGGCGGAGTTCCCACCGCGAGCAGAACTCCGGTTCAAAAACGCTGTTTTTGAAACACTTTTATTTACTTAAGCACTTTAATGGGCTTAACTTAAAACCAAGAGCAATCGAATGATTATTGTTATGTGTTGCCTTGAATTCGGCTATGTTGTCTGTCAGACAGTTGCTTTCCTTTATTGTTGTTTTTGTATTTGTTTGTAGCAAACGCTACTGGAATGTATAGATTAAGCTACGTAGCCAAGATGATTAATAATTGACCTGTTGTACATTCGTGATATGTTTACCGGTAAACTGAATCGAACTTGATGTGCTAATGAACGTTTCTCTGGCCTACAGGTCAGGTTTTTTTTCCCCATGTTGAACTGATCTTCTTCATATTGAAGTGGCGAGCTGGTAGGACTATTCTTTCTTTTTGGAATCGGGAAATGAGCTATTATTTACCCCATGAAAAACGAAGCGGCAGCGGGCTGCTGGAGGTGCCCTGCTAGTAAGATCCCGTTTAAACTGAAAACTGCCATAAAATAAAAACTATAATAGCTAGAGCGTTCTTTTTTTAGCTGAAAGTTGAGACTCTCGCCTTTCAGCACATCTGTACTGTACAAGTCGATGATGCCATCATGTTGCGTTAAGTGTGTCTATTTCAGTAGAACTTTGACAAGTGGTGAGAAGGTGGCCAGGAGCTGGATGTTGTATTCAGACAGCAAACGTTGTTATATATAATACACTCCACGCAATTTGAAACAAAGTTGTAGGTGTAATGTTTTTTCTTGTGTGTGTGTGTGTGTGTGTGTGGGGGGGGGGGGGGGGGGGGGTCACAGGGGGATCTCGCACAGGGCGCCATTTAGGCCAGCTCCGCCTCTGCCCACCACAGTGGGCTCCAGTCTGAGGTGAGTAAGCTAAATAAACATTTTAACATCTTCTAAAGACAATTCCCTACCTAAATGCAAAGTTTGAGAGACGTGGTTCACTTCCTTTAGCTTGTCAGTCGGCAATTCTGCAACAGTGGCTCTAACTGACGCAGCACTTGACAGACAGCATTACAGCGTGAAATCCAGCTTGTGAACAGGTTCTGTGAGGAATTCTGTTCAGGAGGTCGCATTTCAGGCTCTCCACATCATGTGTGACTGACTTTTACGTTATAACAACGATCACACACTAGGAATGTTATAAAGTGCCTATATAGGAGATTCTTTTGTATATTATCTGACTTTATAAACTCCCAACAACAATGTGCTTATATATTTTTTTCAGGCTAAATCTACCCAAGACACTGGCTGTCAGACTGATTTAGCTGCAAGAATGCACTTGTCCAGGCTGACGTGAAACCTTCCCTGTAGCAAAGGTGAATTATTTTAATAATCTTCTATGTAAACATTTTATTATTACCTTCTAGTTTTAATTTGTTTTACAGATTATTGTTACACGTGATTTTATGCTCTTTTAAACATTTATAAATGTGCTGCTTCTTTGTTTTTACATAGCCAGCCAGAATGGAGTTCACAGCCGCAGTGTGTCTGGTGACCCACGGGGACCATGATGAAAATTCATCTTCCAGAAGGTCCCAGAGCAGCAGCCACACCCCCTGAAAAGACCAAGGTGTGAGGTGTCTGCTGTTGATTCCAGCTTCCACCTCAGTGACTGTGCAAGCTCAGTGAACTGTTCAAGGTAAAAAAAAATTAAAACATTTCAGAATTTTTAAGATATTAACAATTAAATAAGTATGTGATTACATCATGACGGAGGCTACTGATTCTGCCCCGTGACACTTGGTGGTGACGTGTGAGCTGATTCACCTGGAAAACAACTTTTACATTAAATATTTTGTTTTTGCTATCAAAAGTAAATTAACTAATAACCTGCATTATTGCAGGACACTCAGCAAAATATGGACTCTACACCATGAGGCAGGTACACGTTAATAACTCTATAAGAGCACATAAGGTGAGCAACACCACATATTGTACACTGTCCTGAATTTGTTTTCTTTCTGCATCTCATTAGCCTGGCTGATCACCTGATAACTCCTGTCATCTTGTTATGACAGTATGAGGATGTCCTCACACACCTGTAACCTATCAGCTCATCTGGCAGAATAGAGAGAGAAGAGACAACACCACATCTCCTGTTCCTGGAAAGCCTTCAGCCATCCTTCGATGACTGAGAACCTCCATCAGCTCTGTCTCCTGTCTGCCTACAATTATTATAATAAATATTGTGTTTGACAAGTTTTTTTGTGCTGCCAAATATCTCATATAGATTCCAGTTTTGATATTTTAATGGATATTTATAAATTACATTAATTGAATTATCACAATGCATGTTTAACTAGCTCTATTGTGATGAATTAAACTAGCACCTCACTGTTAAAAGCTCGTTTTACTTTCAAGCATGTTTAAGTATTTATGGACATGAACAAAAACAGGAAATATATAAATTGAGATTTATTTAATTAATAAAACAAATAAGGAGGAAAGAGTCATTGAAAGGCACATTCTTCTGGAAGCTCCTGATCCTGATGGCACCAGCAGAGGAGACCACCTGCAGACACCAGAGGACCTAGAACCAAGAGAGCAGCTGTTATCAGTAAATAAATAAATCAGGGCAGTTTTAGTGAGCTGAACACATTACAGAATAATTTTCTCATGGGGTATTTTCATAACTTTATGCAGCAGACTGTAACTTGAGCCCAGAGCTACCGGAGAGCTGCTATCCAGCACGTTTCAGTGGATTTTCCTGCTTTAACAGGTTAGATTAGCTGTTAAGCAGCTCAGCTATTTGTTGCTGATTAAAACCAGGTGTGCTGAAGCAGATAAACCTCTAAAACATGCTGAATACTAGCTCTCCAGGGCCGTGGAGACAAACCCTGCAGCTAATCCAATGCTATGGCTAACGGCTACTTACGTTCAGAGGTGGTTCTGTTGGGTCGGTTCTGGGAGTTACAGGCAACTCACAAGCTCACAACAATAAGGCTCAGGTCCGCTTGTCTCCTCCAAATAGACTTGGTCCCTTTCTTCTCGAGTGTCTGGGTAAGGAGGGGGAGAAACATCCTCCACTTCTAATAACTGCATAGAGTGAAGGGAGCTAGCATCGTCTAGTTAGCCGTCGTCTTCGTCACTGCCGCGGCTCCGCCCTCTCGGTCCTCCAGGCAACGCCTACTAATGTTGCATTTTTTAAAATTGATACGTGGGTAGAGAAGGACTCCGAGGCTCAATTGACCCGCTCTTTAAGCTTTCAGTGTTGATGATGACGAACCAAAGGATGCTGTTCACCTAAATAGCTCTTTGAAATAATAGTAAGTCATTTGCTTTTGTGTGTTGTCGGTTCAGCCAGTTCTTTGTTTTACAATTTTCCCGCCACCTGCAAAAAAGGAAGTCAATTGCTTTGTGAGAAGTCGCCGGCCGTGCAAACTTGTTTAGAATGAGCTTTAAGAAAGCTCAACCAGATCTTTGTTCACCAACTTCCCGCCACCTGCAGAAAAGAAGTCATTTGCTTTGTGAGTTGTTGACTAAAAGCGTCACGCTGAGGTAAGGATCAACTTTTATTCTTATAGGCTTGAGTATGCAGGGTGCTTTACAACAGAACAATAAATGGTTTAGCATGGTGAACCTAGATCTTCGCTCACCATTGCTTTTGTGAAGTGTGACAAATGTTTGAATGGTTTAGTCAAAGACAAATGTTTGAATGTAATCCTTTTACTTCTTAGAGAAGTGTGTGTGTGTGTGTGTGTGTGTGTGTGTGTGTGTGTGTGTGTGTGTGTGTGCGTGCGTGCGTGCGTGCGTGCGTGTGTGTGTGTGTGTTTACAGCCTCTGATGATTCAGCCTGATGTGCTGCTGGACAGAAAGTTTTACACAATAGTTTTAGTTCTGGTCAAAAAGTGTCAGTGAGCTGCTAGTAAATATTTACACATTTAAACACAAAGTTTAAGACTGAACATACGAAATCCAAATATCTAATAGGGAGAAAAGCACTTTGTGAACATCTGCCAGATGGCTGAGTAAATCAAAGAGAGCAGGGAGTATTAATGACATAGACAATGTGTCACTCTGAAGAGTTTGTGTGTGTTCAGCAAAAGGCTGCAAAAGTTCTTGCATTGGCTTCAGCTTCTGCCACTCACTCGAGAGCAAGCAGACACATCCCATTCTACAGTCAGATTCTTTAACTTTGAGGAGACGTACAACCATTTCATAAGTACTTGACCAGTGTGTGGGGCTGTCATTCACAGCAGTTAGGCCGCACTCATCCACTGTCAGTGACCCATGTCATGTTAGATATTTTTGATATAAAAAGTCCACGAGGTTAGACTGATATGGTGTGTCAGTAAGGGCTGGTAAATGCATTATAATGGTTGCAGCATCAGACTGATGTGGTTCTGCTCACTGGTGAGGCTGGCCTTCTTTTTCTTGCTTCTCTGCATTTGCAGTACAATTTAGATGACAAAACTTTCTGTGTGTTGAATTTAGGTGATGAACATATCTGAGAGGCTTGCGACAGCGGCGTATCCACGCTCTCTTCTTTCACCTTTTGAGTTGAAGTTGAAGCGTCGGATGTAGTAGACACTTCTTCCTCGTGGCTTGGTGCTTCATTCAGCTCCTCGTGGTTCATCATTTTTTCTTAGAGCTCGGCTTTTCAGCATTCGGACACGATCTGAGCTTTTAAAGAGTTATGCTAGGGGTAACACTATAGGATTACACTCAGAAGGGAGGGGGCTGTGGGAACCACTGGGGTAACACAATAAGAAACTTCACGCGCCATTACACACATTAGCCTATGACGTGGGGGATCATGGACATCTGGACGTTCAACAATACGTCATTGATGATGCGGCGTGGGGGGTCTAAGCCATCTGGACGATCAACAATACACATGTCCATTTGATTAATGATAGGGAAGGGGGGGCAAGGTCAGGGGGTCATTGAACAATACACCTGTCCAATTGATTGATGATAGGAAAGGGGGGGAAGGTCAAGGGTCAAAATGAACAATAGGACTGAAAGGTCAAAAAGGTCAAAGAACAATAGACCTGTCAAAATGTTTGACGAAAGGTATCTTATTATGTCTCTCTGTCCACTCCCAAAAGAGTCTGAATGTTGCAACGGATTAATGTTGTCCTGCAGTTCCAACATTTCATGATCTGAAAGAGGACTGTCCAGTACAAGGACACTGATACCAGGATGAGGTTCAGTCATGTATCCATTCTCCTCCCATTCAATCTCTGGTGTCGGTATACCCTGGAAAAAGAAAGTGTGTATGAGCACTGTGCATAATGAATCTCAAGAAAACACATTTAATAAAGCCCTATCATGACCTTTTAACAATTACTTAACATCAATGATGTCAGGCAGAACCTAGCATCTCCATTATTTCATAAATTATTATTTTTTTAATTAATGGGCTACTTTTATGTTAAAATAGCAGTGAGAATATCACATCTGGAAGGTCTAATGCCTTGCATTTTGAACTTGAAGATGTGTCATGACTTTGTAATGTCATGACATTATAGTTGACAGTGTCCCCTTCAGTAGAGGTGCACACAAACAGAACTGTAATTTCAATAGCCATTTTGTCTTGAATCCAAGAAGCATAGTGCAGAGGTAGATTATCAAAGTGTTGAACATTTGATTTTTAGTTAAGGATCAACTTGACATGTGATCAGTCATTTTAACAGAACATACATTTGCCCCTGGATCAGAAACAGGATTCAGAGCCTGGCCCAGATGCCACAGCTGATTTGGTGTCATGTTTTCCTCTGTCCTGATTGGATGGTTGTCCCACGCATCTCTAAAGACATCCAGGCTGGCCTGGATGCGAGACAGTATAGTGGCAGCAAAACAGGTGAAGGATGTTACTGATGTCGAGCAAGTCTTGGTCTTCCAGAGAGTGCAGGATGTTGTAATATAAACCAGTAACACTCATGAAGACATCACGCCAGAGGCGCTCGATCCTGGATTTGGAGGGGAATTAAATAAAAGAAAATTATAATATACACACACATTTACATGTCCATACATCCATTTTCAACTTGAGTTAACTTTTGAATGGTCGCAGGGGGACTGGTGCCTATCTCCAGCAGTCAGTGTGAGACGAAGGGTACACCCTGGGCAGGTCAACAGGCACAGGCATGCGCGCACAGACACAAAGCTTCCAAATTAGGTTAAACTCACCGTTGATTGTGTACACTTTTTCCTGCAATGAAGCTGTTGGTGTCAGTTCCACGAACTGAGAACATTAATTCTGCAACACCTACATTTTCTCCGCCATGATCTCCTCTCACCCTGAAAAAAAAAAACATTAGAATCTTGCTTCAAACATTTTTAATGCACATCTATATCAATCTACATCAATTTCAGTCTCGCAGAAATTTCCTTATGTACCTTGCTACTAAGTGAGTAAACAATGTGGCATTATTAACCCTCTGCTGGGGAAATTTTTTTGAAAGAGGGAAATGTTCACCCCCCCCCCTAGAAAGTAAAATCTATATGACCTTTGAGGTCATATAGATTTTACTATATGACCTCAAATGGCATGTTATCTTTGGTCAATAACACACTTTAGGCAAAAGCAGATTTGTAACAGGGTAACAGAGGGTAAAGTTGGGAATAACATGAATACCTCAGAGGAAAGCCATGCTCATTCACAGCTTCACTGAAGAAGGCAAGGTGGGTGTCTGCCCGGTTGTTGTCAGCTACCTTCAGGTACATGATCTATGTAATTCAAGCACAAACACTCTCATATGACACATTTTTATAGGGGCCAAAACAATCAGTTACCAAATGAAAGGTACAACAGCCATACAATAACATGTTAGATAATTAAATAAGTTAAGATCTGTGAAAACCAAAAATAGCAATTATCTTCTATGAAAATATCTCAGTTATTAACGTTCATGCTTTGGAGCAGAAAAAGTTCATGACAATTAAATGTTTCAAGCTCAGATCGCTCCACTCTGATGGTCACCTGTTCCAGCCAGATACCTTCTTTCTAGGCGTTCAAAGTCGGAAACTCACTGAGTAAACTGGGTGCTTAGAGGAGTATCTTCAGTTGTTTAAGACTGAGGGTAACGCTGCACACGCTGATTCTACTAGCATGGATGCTAATGATCGTAAACATAAAAGAGGGCTTGCTTCGTCTCGCGCGCTAACGCCGCAAAGCACTATGGGATTAGTAGTCTTATCAGCAAAATCGCCCGGCGGGCCAGTTTAATATTATATATTTGATATTTGATTTCGCGGGGCAAATAAAAATAGACCAAGGGCTTGAGTTTGACAACCGTGGCCTAAAAAAATGGTACCTAGACACGCTAACTAAACAAATGTTCACTTGAGTTTAGCTTGATGTTAAACTAGATGAAGAATGGACCAGACTTCACGTAACGTCTGGACTGAATTTAACATAAAACATTTTACTTGACCATGAAGAACGCTTCTACTCATAATTCTATAACATTGCATAAATTACAACGAGGGA